TCAAAGCGTCGCGTCTGGGCGCGTCAACGGCGCTCGCGCTCTTTTAAACTCGTAATAAAGCGGTGAATGATCTGTCTAGAAATGACGCTGATCGACAGAACAATTTTATATTTAGAATACATTGCAATCACTCTAAAATAGATGACGACAACTCACACACCTGCATTAGGAGCTGTACTTCTTTGCGTGCCTATTTAGCCGTTTGCATCGCACAGTTCGCAGCACCTGAAGGATGTGTTCGTTTCGTTTCGTTACGCATTCAGAAGGCGGGACCCGCTTTGAAACTGCAACATTAATTGGTTTAATTGCAGATGAGTGACAATTCAACTATATCCAATGAACAATGAGGCTAGAATTTGCTGCCTGTCTTGACTGGTGGACTAGAATATAGGGGATGCTAAGGTTATGGAGGTCCCTCCTCAAAGCCCGAGGCCCTAGGCAACTGCCTGCTCTGCCTATAGCTAGCGCCGGCCCTGTATTTAGGATATTTTAGCTGTAAGGTACGGTTTGAATTTAAAATGTCTGGATGGATTTGTTTTTCCACAAACACACAGCTTTTCACTTTACAAGATGTTAAATGATGGACTGGAGTCATGTGGATTAGTTGTAGATTATTGTGAAGGTTTTATGAGCTGTTTGGACTCTCATTCTGACGGCACCTATTCACTGCAGAGGATCCATTGGTGAGCAAGTGATGTAATGCTAAATTTCTCCAAATCTGTTCTGATGAACAAATAAACTCATCTACATCTTGGAGAAAATGTATGAGTAATTATGACATTGTAGTGGCATTTATGTGCATTCAACTTGTAAATACAAATTTTCCATCATGACTTGAACGCACCAAGTCTTTCAAGTACTGTTAGCACAGTAGAATGAAAGGATTGTCTGAAAACCTTCAACTGAGATGTCAAACACTAAATCCATAGAAGCACACTTCACCAGCATGCCAATATTTGGCTGAAGGCTGGGCTTTGTAACAACTGTGGCTAGTAACACATAGCAACACTCTTGGTATGTTTCATTCCATAACATCCATATGTGCATGCATACCTCAGCGCTTTGTAGATGCTGACACATATCCCTGTGGGTCATTGACCACCCCAAATAGCTTGAATAGCTCTGGTAATGCACTGCCCTTTGTGGCTTACCAGTCAACGTATTTGAGAAAGTTAAAGTAGTGCAAATGTTTTCTTGTCAGACCCTTAAGCATGGCTAATGTCTAATTTGTGTTTACAGGGGAGGTTAAGTGTGGCTCTCCTATGCGGTAATACTGAAAGTCACTCACTTAATGTTTTCTCTGATTCCTGTGGAGAAGAAAAAGAGAACCGGCGTCCACATAACATCTGTATCCTCTAAACATTTGTCAAAAGTAACCAGTGGAATTTTTACATAACGTGGCTTCCCAATGTAGGAAATGAGTGTGTTTATGTGGTTAAACCATTTTCATTGGAGATTTTCAGTGGGAAATTTCAATTTAGAGAACTTTCAATGACTCTTTATGTTAGGGATGAATAAAACCACATTTTATTTCCAATTCAATACCAAGACCAGTTATTTCTTATATCGATACCACTGATACCTCTTTTAAATTAACTGTTTTCTGTGATCTCCAAAGATAAAATGGATATTACCAGTAAAGCACTTAAAAGCCATTTTTAAGACAGGCCTAACATGTAAATGTTCAGATAATTTTTTTTACATTTTCATTTATTAACCCTGTAAAGCTTGACATATGACGTAAAAAATTATTTAAAAATCAAACAGTTTATTGACCCATTAGACAAAAAATATTTAAGAAAATGTAACAGAGATGGCATACATGTTTTATGTTTGTATCATTTACATCCATCCATCAGGATTTTATGGTCCATATTGTATGATCTAGTAACATGGTTGAGAAGGAAAAACATCTTCATTTTATTCAGAAGACCAAAACTGAGCAGAAATATGTAATTTGGTGCTGTTATTTATTTATCTGTTGTATCATAATATGGATCATGTATGGATTATGAAGTAAATCTAAGTTGCTTCAGTCCAGAAAAAGTTTATCTCCAAAACCAATATAAAAGTTATTCTTATACTGCTGCTTCATGAAGAAATAATTTTTCTGCAGTGTTATGTAAAATGACAATAAACCTGACTTTAACCTTTGACCTTTCAGCATTTATGCCTGTGTTCAGATAAGTAAAAGATTTTTCTTTTTAATTTTACAACAAAAAAAACAAAAAAAATAAAATAAATTTGTAGTGTCAATATCAATAATGTTTGTCAGCATCAGTATCTTAAAGGAATAGTTCACCCAAAAATGAAATTGAGATTGTAGATAGAGTGTCAATGGTCCATTTGAGAGATAGGTGGCGGTAATGCACTTATAAGTCTGCGATCCGCCGTAAAGCAAGAAGAAGACGCCTCATGCGCCGACTGAAGAAGAAGACGCGAACGCGCTCAGGATGCGCTCAGGACAGTTCGGACATTGCGGTAAATCAGAGGTAAAAAAACTATATAAATACTGTTCAGTTTCTTGCACAGACAGATCGTTTTGTGTCTTTTCACATCAATGTATCATCACGAGCCGCAGGGTTTAATTTGGTTTTGTTTGTGATGTTTTATGACTCTCAAAGCCGTGATTCCCATCCACTGGACTGCAACGGTTTGAGTTAAAAATCTCAGTTTGTGTTCTACTGAAGAAACAGTCACCTACATCTTGGATGCCCTGGGGGTAAACAGATAAATATCACATTTTCATTTTTGGGTGAACTATCCCTTTAAGTATCAATATTTCAAGATTGAGCCACCCATCATGATTCTGTGTCACTCAAGAAGATGTCTGATATCTGATGTCACTGACCAAAACAAACAAACAAACAAACAAACAAAAAATCTCCATGAATACATCTTCAGATATCTTTCCTATATGAGGCTTCACCAGGCAGAAGTGATGCTGTCTCTATCTGAATTGTGCAATCTCAGTGTTGAGTATTGGTCCCATAGGAGCATCTTATAACCGCTTCTCCTGGAATTCCAGAGGCGTGTCCCGCAAGGTTTGGCCGAGGGCCACGTTTCATGAGATGGCTGTAATCCCAAGCAAACCCTCCTGCCCTGATCCTGTCAACACCAAGTGTCCATCGCTCCTGGAAATGCTTTCCTGGTCGCCATTGTGTGACGCTTCAGCTTCTGGAAGCAATGAAAGCCTCAGATGGATTTTGTACTGTATAGCAATTTTAGAGAGATATCATATGTTTAGAAGATGTAACCTGATTACCAGGCAATATCATAAATCATCAGATGTAATGTAGGTCTCATGTGCTGTAATACATGGACAGAAGGTACCGGTGGTGGAATGTGATGGGAATTTCAGCTCAAAGAGAGGAGAATATGAGGCCATATCACATATCAGTGTTGTGGTTCACCTTACATGATTATAGACCTTAGTCAGATTAGATGCTGAATTTAAGACTGAGAGGGATAGACTGCATGCACTGTATAAAGGTCATAGATCACGTAATTTTCGCCAACTAACAACTTTCAAAACTATTTTATGTCTAACTAGTTTTTGTCTACTGAAAGTTTCTTCGATTAGCTGATTAATTGCTGAACAATTGCTATGCTGTTAAAGAACAGTACAATCCAATGCACTGAACTTCTGTCCTCACAACCTCTTCCGGTCAAAAATTTAACACGGTGATATTCTTAGGTCTATTATGAGGAAGGTTGTCCCTAAATTAATGTAAACAAACAGAAAATATAATTCTGTCAGGACCACTATCGTCAAAATGATAGATACTTAGCATAAAGTTTGGTTTGGCGGTATGGTTCTGTTCTGGGCAAAAACCTCCCTGCCCATCCATGCAGCCTGTCATGAATGAGCAGGGAGAGCAGCAATAATAACCCCCCTAGGGTTAACAGAACAGAACAAGGCAGATATCATTAATGTACATGATATTTAAGTGTAACACTTTATTCAAGATAAAGGAGTCTGATTAGCAAGGAATATCAGAAAGCCAATTCCTGACTGTGGCGAAAGGAGGAGCTGGGGATGGAGGAGGGTAATTTGCTCCTGAGCAAGCTGAAAAGCTGCTGAATAATACTGAATAGAGCTTATATAGGAATGCCGCGATAGGTGTCGTATTCCTATATGTAGATGTGATCAGCTGAGAATCAGCTGATGCAAGCTTGACTCACGTGACCTGCCAGAACTAACGCTAACGCTTAATTTATGTATTTCATTCTTTTTTTTTTTATAAAATAGCCTACCACATGTTTTCATATAGTCACTATTTACACTCACTGTTATAAACTGTATGATTCAAGAGAACCGACTCAGAGTCATTCATTCGGGAATCGGACTGCGCTGGTTGCGCTACTAGTTTTAATACACGAAAAAGAACCAACTAATAGAGTTACTAATAGAATCGGACTTCTCGCTCTATGTTACTGATTAACTAAAAATAACTGACTCATAAGAGTGAATCATTTCTTCGACAGTCGTGTTTGTTTGAATAGGAAGAACCGATTCATGAGAGTCATTCGTTCGTGAATCGTGAGGTAAGTGTATGCTGAAGAATGCACGTGCGAAAGCTAAAAATAATCGTTCTAATTTTATGAGAATTAAGGGGAGTCAGTCCACACACCAGGAACAAAATCTTTGGAACTTTTAGAACGAGTTTTCTAAACAGCTTTTTTCTAAAAAAAACAAAACAAAAAAACAGCCAATCAGAATCCACACGAGCTCGAGCATAGGACATGCAGCGCGAAATTAAGTATAATGTTCTCGGCATGAACCAAGTGATACCTATGTTTTTGCCTTTGTTATAAGGTGGTAATACTTTTAGCTCCTTTCTTATTGAGAATATGTGTTATGCATGATGCTGTAGCTGATACTCAAACAGATAGATCATCCTGAAGGTGTCCGCCTGAATTTTAGAACAATGGGTTAAAATAGGCGGGTTGTAACTAAGGAGGTGTGTCTTGTGCGTAAAGGGGCGGGGCTGGAAGAGTTCATCACCCTCGTGTGTTTGAAGCAGTCAGCTGAGCGCAAATTGTGCGGACGCGGCTCTAACCTCGTACAACATGCAGGATCACAACGAACACGTTTAACCCTGTGCACTTTTTGTCATTCCAACGTGTACAGAAAACAATCTAGTTAAACACCCTTTCTTTTAATTCCACTTCGCCGTTCTTTCCCCGTGAAGAATACCGATTTGGAGGTGAGTATTCCAGACTGTTTGGATGGATGGGGGCTGTGTTGAGAACATGGTTTCGTGCTCATGCTATATCTATAGATATGCGGATGTAATTTACGAACATGCATTTATTAAGCGTTTTGTAATGTAATTCACTGCCAAAACATACCCATCAACAAAGGAGTAGTTCATGTATTTAACAATAGGGTCGATTTAAAGTAAACTCGCTATTTATGAATGAGATGCATGCATGCTTATAAGTTTTATGAGTGAAACTAGTTTCGATCATAGAGTCTGATTTGCAGCCAATACCGGTAAACTTTGCACACGCGTGTTTACAAACAACTTCAGGAGTGCATGTATTTTTAGATCGTATTTATAGATTTACTTCTAGGTCGTGCTTTCTGTGAAGACATCTTTTGTTTAGGGTGGGCAATCGAGAACCGTTCTTTAAAAAAAATAAAAATAAATACTGGAACCGAATGATTTACATGATGTGATTTTCATGATCTGGTAAAGGATATCGAACGATGCGGACCGTACTGAACTGTTAACAGTTTTTAACGCACTACTATTCGTTAAACACCGCTGCTGGGTGCGCAAAACACACCAAGTCTTTAACTTAAAGTGAATTTAAAAAAAAACCGGTTCGCCAAATAAATGAATCTTGCGAGCCGTTTTTTTAAGTGAATCGAAAACATCCAGCGCCACTGTGTACTGTAGTCGTATTCCTGAACGAATGATTCTCAAGACTCGGTTCTTTGTAGCGAAACAACATCTTGAGCGACACTGTGTCCGATTCCAGAGCGAATGAATCGGTTCTTTGTAGTGATTCTGAATCAACCGGAGCGGTTATTGATTTAACTTAATGAGCAATTGTTACTTTCGTCGTGTCTGAAGAGAAGCAAGAAAAGTTACTGCGCTATGTACTTGTGAGAGTGCTAGTTAATGACTGGCTGTTCATTTGGCAGTTAAAAGATGTACATGCAGGCTAGTTTGATAAATGAAAAGTTACCACGTTTGTTTAGTATTTTTATTTAATGTATTGGGTCAGTTATTGGATTGCATTTATGCCAAGACTATGTAAGCAAACCTTTTGATAGTATTTTATTACATTCATTTCTGATTTTAGTTATGCTAAAATCTGACATGATTTCTGGGTAAGTCCTATGATTCCTATTCTGAATTTTGATGCAGATGTTGTACATTTGGCCTTACCTTTGTGTTCACGTGTTTCGGACCATATATTTAGCATTAAGATAATAGTTATCTTATTTGAGTCTAAAATTCTTGATCTTGATGTTCTACAGTGTGCTATTAGACTATTAACTGCAACATAATCTTACATTATGGGATTGTGCAAATGTTTGATTTGCATGTGTCACAAATGCAAATGAGCTGTTTTTCATTTCAAACAGTTGTCCAAAGAAATTGTCCAGAAAAGTTATGTAATATTCTTGTGCGAGAACGCTCTCTTTCTCTTACACACATACACTAACACAAAGGAGGTGTATCTGTTTTCTTTTGTCAAGGAAGGAAGGGAAGTTGTTCAGTGGTTCTCTAACAATAGACTGGCCGAGTGCAGGGGTTGGATTTTTAAAGGCATGTTCAGGCACACATATATGAGTTTGTCATTCTCCCTCTCTCACACACCTCTCAACTAGAAATGTGTGGGTTTTATTTGGCAGAGATTCTGCAAAAAGCAATGAAGCAAGACAACAACTCCAAATTGCCACCTCCAGGGCTAGAGGGTTCAATTTAATGTCATTTCAGTTCACAATTTCATACATCTAGTGTTCACTAAGGGAGGTAAGAAAAAGGAGATAACATCATTATAACTTGATAACATCAAAAACGCCAACATATTCTGGTTCAGATGGCACAGATTGTACCCTTTTCACTTATCCCCTTATTTTTGTGCATTGGTTTTTATCTTTAAGTCACGATGACATGTCAGATTAGTTAGATGTATAGTTGTATAATTAGATGTATAGTTTGGTGTTTGAGGTGTATCTTGATGTGATGTTAAAGAGTATTCACACAGTGGTTTGCGACAACAAAACAACCAAAAGTTTTAATTTTTATTGCATATTTTGGAAGATAAAGTGATATCAGTTAACTTCTAATGCCTCTTCATTTCCCTATTTTTCCTCTCTTTTCTCTGATGTTGCAAATTGTCTCCCACCTTCCTACTTTATCTGGCTATGTTCCCTCAATCTTTAGCATCAAATGTAAGCATTCATCCTAAAAATAAACAAACCAGCATGCACTCTACAGTCCTGTGAAACAGCAGTTATCTTGCTAAGAAATTGTGTGAGAGAGACAGAAATAAATGAAGTGAAAGAAGTTTATGCACTATTATTAGCATTGGCCACATAGAGTCTTGGGGGGAAGGAGAGAATAAGCAAAAGTGCAAAGATTTTGACTGAAAGAGTAGTGTTACATGTGTTCTTAATTTAACCATTGGTGACTGATCCAAGACCCATTGTGTTTGTTTTGGTCAGACTTGCTAAAGTCTATACAAAAGTGGTTTCGGTCAATCCAAAGCTGGTTTATTTAAAGCAGGAGTTCACTAAAACTACACATGAACTGTCATAACCGATCAAACTCTGCTGGCTTGTATAGACAGTTAGTGGGAACTCGTGTCGGTTTGCGTTGCGCTTCAGACTCTGTCTCCAGTCTGATTTTTCTTTTTCTCACTAGCTCTTTTGTTTGTGTGTGGTCACACGGGTGGTCCATGTTAGATTCTGACCTGATTTTGGAGTCTTGGAACACACACATACCCAGCTGCCTCCGATGGACCGTCAGTCCGTCACAGGGCACTAGCTCTTTTGATCTCCCCACCCGTACCACTGCTGGCTTCCAAAGCTTAAAGACCTTCCATGCAATCCAATACATCACAATGCACCACTCCACTTTTTGTCCACTGTATTCTTCTGCGGCTCAGCATTATGAACAGGTCAGCTCTGATGGTTGCTAGTCCAATTTTCTAACTTTTTTTCACAGCAAAAGCTTAACTTTTTGTATGACTTGTATTCTTTAAACCAATTCATGTTGACCTTTGACCTGATTCACCCTATTAGCCAGAATTACTGTTTAAATGTAGAAAACAATTAAATATCCAGTATCCAATGATAAATATGCAGTATTGGTCAATAATGATTTTTTAAAAATTCGACCAATAACCAACGTAGTTTAATGTGTTGAAAATGGACCTTGTCTTCAGGCAACATTCCTTCAAAGTTTTGGGTGGAGTGGAAGACTCTTGAAGTCTCGTAAGGTTCTGGGAATTTCTGCCTGTCAGATTGAACTAAGTTCTATTGGAATTTTTAGTTGGGTAGCCTATGTGGTGGTTGAAGAAATACTGATGTCTTGAACTTCAGTGTTTTTTAGCTTTAGTTTCTCAGAAATTTGTGATGCAACAAAATTATTATTTTTTTATTTGCCAAAACACTCAAACCCAAAATTCAAAAAAGAATTCAGCGTTTCAGCAGAACAAATTTTACATATTGGTAGTGTAACATCAATTTTGGTCATGGTAATGTGCATCCACACTGCTGAAATGTTTACCTGTTGTAGCTTATCCATGCTTCATGCATGAAATAAATGCTGAAACAGTAAAATGTGGTCAATGATTTTAGCTGTCCAAAACTATTTTAATTAAAACAAAAAAAGTATTATTATTATTATTATTATTTATTTTTGCTTTTTGTGCCAAAATTTCAGTGCATCTCTATCAGAAATGGTTATTTGTCTGTCAGTAAATCATGTATCAGACTACATTCGAGGTATTTTAATTTATTAATAGATATCGGATATATATTGGTTGGTATTGGATATTTAATTTGACAATAATTTGTTACATTTATATAGTGCTTTTCTGGGTACTCAAAGCGCCTTACATAGGAAGGGGGACATGCTAATTTTCCTGATTTTTACATTTAGATTATCTTGACTATCATCTAATGCTGAATTAGTTAATCTTAAAAACATTTTTTTTTTAAATAACGCTGTTAAATGTAATATTTTGAAAATCTAAAATGTTATATTTATTCATACTGTACATTACAATGTTGTGAAATTTACCTGTAGCATTTAAATGGGAAAAAAAGGGTCCAACCCTACTCCTGAAGAGCTACCGTCCTGCAGAGTTCAGCACTAACCCCAGTCAAACACTCCTGAACCAGCTAATCAAGGTGTTCAGTGTTGCTTAAAAAATTACAAGCAGGTGTGTTGGAGCAGGGTTTGAATTGAAGTGTGCAGGAATGTAGCTATGCAAAAGCAGGGCTGAAGACCTCGGAACAATTGACAGTGTTTGATTTTTTATTTATTTAGACAAAATATAGGTCATTTATTGGTTATTGCCTAATCGGTATCAGCCAGAATTTATCATTCATTGGGCTTTACATAACAGACAGATACACTACTGTGAGTACAGCTTAAAAGACTTGCATGTTTCTTTCTTTGGCATTATCATCCAAGTGGATATTGAAGTCACCGAATTCTACACATGTGTACCACTTTTCACGCCAACATATTGATTAGCTCAGCTGTAACCCTGTACAATACGATGTGAAGAGGAGGTAGATGAGGCGTCCTGGCATTTCCCAGCATATTGCAGTACTTGCTTGCATTTAGAATAGCCAAAGTTGGAGTAGACACGAAGCTCAAGGTACCTTTATCTTGTCGTTTTTGGATCCATTTGACCTGGCTGACCTTGCAAAGGGCAATATCCAATGGTGGTGGATGACTCTTGATGGGAAAAAAAAAAAAAAGGTTTCAGACTGAGTGGTTGTCTTGTTCACCTTCCATAAAGAATGGCATGACTCTATTATGAAGGAAAGAGGGGCACTTGACCTGTGTTTATGTACGTACTAAAGGGAGGACACTCTAGGAATGATCATCTAGGCCTTGAAATTCCTTAGAAGACATGAGAGGCAGTGGTGGGATTCGTTCACCCTCTTAATTTGCCTCCTTGATAAGACCTTGGTACATCAAGCATTTCACCACCCATCTCTAAACAA